TCCATTCCCTCTCTCACCGCAGGGACCTTGATCTGTTCCCCACCCCCACACCTCTTCCCTGCACTTCCACTGAACCAGATGTACCAGATGGATGCAGCTCTTCACGCTGAAGAGCTGTGTATCGGAAATCAGATTGGTATCAGTTGATACACCTCCTTAAAAATCGGCTATTGGTATCGGCCCCAAAAATCTCTATCAGTGCACCCCTAGCGTTTCCCCCTCCACTAATCCTCAGTTCACCTTTAAGCCTACCAGCTTTCCAAAGGCCAAAACCAAAAAGTTTAACAACTATATGATTTGCCAAGTGAGAGCAGACTACTGGGCTCATCAAGCCTGACACCTGACCTCTACCAGTGGGCAACACTGGGCATGTCAAAGGAGTATGAACAAAACGTACCTGGCCAATCGTGAAAACCAAAATATGGTAGGATTCATTTATAATTACCGCTGTCTCATCTTACATTATCTACCATATTAATGGTTAACATTTGTCCTCCCATATTCCCTTCCCATGGACTTGTCCCCCTTCTTACTTTTACTTGCATCCAGCTTGTTTCTTACAGTAAAGCTAGTCTCACTAATACCTAAAACAATGCAACATATTACAAACCTGACATTGTAGTAGCATGGATGCAGGAGAAATACTGAACTATGTACTTTGTATGATCAGCAAATACTTGAAGGAGTCATTTATAAATTCAGAAATGTTATCATACCACTTATCAGTTAATGAGCAAGCCAAAAGCGAGGATGATCCACACAGCTGCACACAATATTTCACATGGCATTCAACTGTCTTGCTCTATTTGTAGTACGTAAACACCACAGTGTTTGAAACATGCAATAGACATGTCATTCCCTTAACTTGTATACTGTGGAATTCAACATTCCTTTAACTTTTTTTTAATACAAAAATATTAAATAGGGTACAACTGCCTAGACATCTGTTATGATAACTACTTGGAAAGTATTCAAGTGAGGTGGGAATTGTCAGCCACGTACATTGGGCCCATAAAGCTTGTTTTTCAGCAAGATTTGTAGATAGAGGAGACGTAGAAACAGATCTAAAAGGGACCTATACACTGGGTCCTCAAGTCCAGTCCCCTATGATCACAGGCAAACATGGAATAAATATTTACCCAGAAGAGCCACAAGAACATCCACGGTAACCCTTCACACACACTACAGGCACAAAGCACCTCAGAACACACAGTCTTTGGTAAACACAAGGCACCTGGCACCTCCTAACATACAGTATGCTACAGGAAGATAACAGGAGTCATGAGGGCACAAATGCCTTGAGTTGGGCCTAGGAAGTGGATTGTTAACCTACAGACAAATGGGAAAACAGCCCTGCAAGGCCCTGCTAGTCTGGACTGGGGGAAATGTCTTACTGACCCCAAATCAAGTGATTGATTTGACACTGTGCTTGTGAGCAAGACCTCCCAGGCAGGTATTTCAAGATTTTCCAGTGTTACTAGTACTGCAGCTTCTCTCTCACCTTTTGCTATAGCTATTTTTTGCCTTCAGAAGAGGGCCAAACACACCACACTGGGAACCCAGTAATGTATTTAGGAAATTTTTTCTTGGCCTCTACAAGCAACCAGGAGGAGTCCTGAAGTACTGGATGAATACAACAAGATGCGAGTGTAACAAGGTTTTCAAGCAGATTAAAAAATCAAAAAGGAAGAGGAACAAATAAGGGAAGAACTTTTTCTGATTTAGGTCATCACAACCACCCAGCTATATGTTCTGTATTTACAGGGTCACACAGGGTAATGATAGATGTGGAAAAAAACAAAAAGTGCTTTACTGGAAGAGGAATCCCCCCCTCTACCCCCAAAGTGCTTTACTGAAAGAGGAATCACATTAGGCTGACCTGGTTCCCCAGTGTCTACACAGCCCAAGTGCTTCAGCAGAACTTTTTAGTGCTCTTTTCAATCAGCTATTAGATAAAAGCACCAAAAAGCCCCATTGAAGTGCACGAGCTATACAGACACTGGGCAAGCCAGGTCAAACTGATGTGATTCCTCTTCTGGGCATGCGCTCTGCTTGGTGCGGAGGCACACCGAGCTAAAAGTGAAGTGCCGTTTTTCCTCCACCCGTCATGTCTGTAAGTACTCATAGTTCATAGATTCATAGATACTAGGGTCAGAAGAGACCTCAACAGATGATCAAGTCTGACCCCCTGCCTAGGCAGGAAAGA